AGAGAGAGAGAGAGAGAGAGAGAGAGAGAGAGAGAGAGAGAGAGAGAGAGAGAGAGAGAGAGAGAGAGAGAGAGAGAGAGAGAGAGAGAGAGAGAGAGAGAGAGAGAGAGAGAGAGAGGAGGAGGAGGAGATGGAGGAACGCGAGAAAGAACCCGAAGAAGGCGAAGAGGAAATTAGAGAAACACCGCTTGGTATATAATCTTTTTTCTTAATTTCTCGATTTATGTTCGTATTTAATTTTAAATTATCGAATTTTTTAATAGGAATTTCTCCCAGCCCTATTCTTTATGCGAGAAGGAGATGCTAGTGATAAAAGGCGAGTTACCTCAGAAAAATATACTTGTTTACTAAATTAAATACGAACATAATATTCTAAGCAATCTCGAAGTATTTTCTATAAAATATGATTTTAATTTTTTTGTAACTTTTGCACAGAAGCGAACAATGAAGAGCTGCAGCATAGAGGAGGGCTTCCACCTCAGGAAAATTTGGAGGAGGGAGAGGTTGAAGAGGAGCAGCAGGAAATAGACGAAGAAAAGGAGGAGGAGGAGCAGGAAGAGGAGGAGGAAGAGATGACGGGAGAAGAACAAGTGGAAGAGGAGGGAGAGGAGGAGGAAAGGGAACAAGCACGTATTGGCGAGGTCAGAAATTTTAATCATTTGCTATTAATCGGGGAAAATTCGTGCCGCTTTAGAAATTTTGCGATATTAGGAAGAGAGGCGATATTCCGTTTGCGTCCGCTGCCCGAAGGAGTCGAAGTTTATAACTGGTTTAAAAACGCATTCACTGAAATTCATGCTTACGCATTGCATACCTCCGAACTGCATGATTACGTGGGATTTACATTCGATTCGGCGGATTTAACGCACGGCTCGGCGGAATTATCGTTTCGGCCGGCATGCGACTTAACTCGCGAGGACATTTGGCGCCTTGTGAGTTCAGTAGCGCAAAGCGCCGGAGGTCTCGATATCGCACGGGATTTTAACGTACGCGTTTTCAATGTCGCGATACCCAGAGATCGCGGGTGTGTTTCGAATAAACTTACTCGGGAAGACGTTGTGAAACGTTCGATTTTAACAATCTCCAATTCGGATAATTTATGTTTTCCCCCCGCTCTCTGGTGTCCGCGCAAATTTATCACGAACGCGGTACGTCGCGGAGGAACTTCACGAGCGGAATGTGGTAAGACATCAGAATTCCTCATTACAACGCGAACTCGCATTGGATTTGATGAGAAGGGCTGGCGTCACCATTTCGCCGGAGGGTTGCGGGATTCGGGAAATAGAATGTTTCCAACGCTTTCTCGCCGCATCCGATATCGCCATTATTGTTTATAATTTTGCTACTTTCGGGCGCGATGAGAGATCTTTATTCGATGGAATCGCGGTACTCGCCTCTTTAGAACGTGAGCCTTTGTATCGAATAAATATTATATATTATGAGCAACAACAACATTATAGTCCTATTTTAAATTTAAAAGCAGCCTCGGGAAGTAGAGGGGTTATCGTATACCGTGTAATATCGGTTATCGAGAAGAAAGGAATCACCGCTGTTCAAACAAATGTTCTCGTTGTAACAAAGCACCGCCGTGCGAGCAACGTGAAATCGTAGAACCTATTAGGTGTGAGACTTGCAAACGATCATTCTTAGGAAACGCATGTTTCGAACATCATCGGACGACAAAGTCATACGACGGAAACACCGGCGAGCGTCTGCAATATCATAC